CCCCAAAACCCCAAAACCCCAAAACCCCAAAACCCCATATGGCTGATTTTAATATATTTTAAGAAGTGGTATAACTGAATAAATTAAATATATACTGAATATAAATCATGCGTAAGCCAATAATTATTTTAATTTTCAATTATGGCTAATTATTCGGTAATAAAATTAAAGCTTTAAATTCTAACTATTCGTCATTTTACTCACATTACATAAGCATTTGTATTCGGATATAATATTATTAAAAGTTTATATAGTCCTTATTTAATGAGCAAGAAAACTACTATTGAATAAATTCGAGCATAGATATTTTAAGGTGACTTAGAAAATGATATTTATGGATACAACAAGCATATTCTCAATACAATTAGCAAAGAAATTTAACAGAAAGCAACATAGGTAACTTTTGATTAGGTGGAAGCTGCTCTCAAAACGTATTTTATTAAAAATAGTAAGTAAAGTGGTCAAAACCAGTATAAGCGGGAGCAGCTTGAAAAATTATAGGAACTTCTAGAATTCTTGCTCTGCTATTTGAAATCATTAAGAAACTTATCTCTTGATCATTAAGTATTATAAGAAGTGTTAGCAACTCTCAAAATGAAGTTTCCAAATGTATTGAAAGAGATTCATTTCATCACTGCAATGTTTATAAAAGAAAAGCCTGGAAATTATTGGAAAGAGTTTACCTAAAGTATTGTTGAATTTGAGAAGAGTTACCACTCATTTGAAGTGACTAATTTGAAGATTGAAGAATCTTCGAAACATTATAAGTTCAGAATTCGAGAGTATATGGATAAGGATGATGAAGTGTTGATTTATTTATTAGCAATGATTGACTTATCATAAATGGATAATCTCTCTTCTTTGGACTACTCAATAGAATAAGCTAAATACTTTATTATGAACATTGAGCCCAAAAAGACTACAATAAATTTTGAGAATAGAGAACCATAATCACCAATTGTACTAGGATAAGACTCAAATAGTCAAGGTAAAGATGATAAGAGTGAATGATATAGGCTGGCATTATATATGAGTATCAAGCGCTACATTTTGCTAAGTAATTTCAGTTTAATAAGAATCTTCATTAATAAATATTATTTCTGTAAATAAACTCTTATTCCTATTTCATATTTATTTCTAATTTACATTCTGATGGGGTTTTGGGGTTTTGGGGTTTTGGGG